GTTTTACTTTTGCCTTCTAAAGGCAAAACTGTCAGACCAAGCTCCTTGTGGGAACGCTGTTGTGAGTAGTGAATCCTGTGCCCTCCTACTAAGTTCCAAAGCATTTGGGACAGTCTTTTCATAGCTGTGGATTCCACCATGCTCAAGAGTTTCTTTTCTAGGTTTCCATCCCACTGGCCTGCCAGTTCCATGCGACTCCCTCCAAAAGCTGTCATATGGTGTGCTCTGGAAGGTGTGTCACTCCCACCCGAACAGGAGGGTCTCAGAGGGTTTCATGGCAGGAGGACACTCCTGGTGCCCAGAAATACAGGAAGTCATGCACAAGGGCAGATTTTACACGGATTTGGCAATTCTCATTCTTACTGAGGTTTCTCATGTTCCTCTTCTTTAACAAGCACTCTGTGTCTTCTTTCTTGCCACCAGGTCAGCATTCCCCCTTTCTGTATGTAACATGACACAGGTTTTGGACCAAGGAGGACACACCAGCAAACTCCCTAAAAGCTTTGGGTGCTGTCAGGAGCTCAGTTGGGACCATCCACTCAGGCACTCCCCAGCCCTTCAAAATCCTACATTAGATATTAGGGAGAAATTCTTTCCTGTGAGGGTGGTGAGGCACTGTCACAGGTTGCCCAGAGAAGTTGTGGATGCCCCATCCCTGGCAGTGTTCAAAGCCAGGTTGGATCCTGGTCTATTGGAAGGCGTTCCTGCCCATGGCAGGATGTTGGACTGGGTGATCTTTCAGGTTGCTCCCAGCACAAACCTCTCTGTGATTCCATGAGCTCCCGGGGCCGGCGGAGCTCTGCGGGGACACCGGCGGCTGCTCCGCTGTCCCTGCCAGCTCCTTGTCCCGAGCCAATGCCGCCATCTAGTGCACTGTGCGGCGGGATTCCGAGCTGATGAAACACCTCCAGCTGTGCATCCAAACAATCGCTGCCACCAGCTCCTCCCCCTTGCTTTTGCCAAAGCCGATAATAGTGAGTTAGTAAGCGATATGCATCCTATGCAGGTCCCTAAAACTCCCCCAGCCACCTCTCTCCTGCCTGTTGCATTTATCACATGCCCTTAACATGCGAGTGGTTTTGGTTAGGCTTGCTTTAGCCCCCTGTCACTTTTGGTGACACACTTCTGGAGGTAGTGGTTCTTGATTCCCCTGTCCAGTGCCCTCCAAGCAGTCCCTGATTTCCCAGCACACCTGGCTAGTCTTGCTCCATCAAGCTGCACCCTTCCTGACTAAATACAGAGAATCCCTTGCTAGTGAAGAACCTCTCTGGAGAGTTCCTGATTGTCCACTGTGATCAGCAAATTAATCTTTATGATATCTGCTATCTGCCACCACTGCTATAAAGAAAATATTCCCTCACGATATCTGAAGAGAGCCTTTTCTTCCTAATTCAGGCTTCCCAGTGCCTGCAGAGAGGTATCTCTCCCCAGTTTTCTCCTTTTTCTGAGGAACACAGCTGTGCTGGGGTGAATCACGGAGCCTCCTCAGCAGCCAGCTTCTTGTTTCTAGCTGCCACATCTAGCATCAGAAGTGCACCCCGAGAAGCTCACCAGGTGTCAGCAATTCTGTTACAAAGAGAATGCTCCTGGCCTTTGAAGCGGCTGACAGTCAGGTGCCTGAAGATCTGTTTTTTATGCTGCGTCAAACACTCGTCCTTCTTTGTCTCCAACACCGCTGGAGAATCACTAATTTTCCAACATATCTGGGTATCTTTCACCTATGAGACTACAGAGACACACTCAGAGCCCCCACTGATGTGCAGGGAACTTGGTTTTAAGGAGACTGTCTCTGGAGGAATCTTGGCTTTCCATGAAGCCAGTTAAAAGATCTTTCTCAGCATCTGATTTCTGAGGCCCTTTTCTCCCTTTATCTCTCACTTCCTTGGAGAGACTCAGAGTCTCTGCAGACTGTGACCATCACCTGGCACAGCCTGGAAGCTTCTTCTCTCCGCTGAGAATATCTGTTTCTCTCCAACCCCAGACTGCAAAAATATTGCTGGTGATGGGATTAGAGCAAAGCGAGACAGCACAGAATGTCTCTGCAGGGGATAAAGCAGGGAAACATGACAGCCACTGATTTGTGGGGGGAGAGCAGTGTGGAGTGCTCAGGCTGTTCTGGCTGTGCTGTGGGGTCAGTGTGTGATGCTGGATGAGCCCCCTTTCCCCAGGGGTGCAGTACAGCAACTGTCCCAGAGAGCTGAGAACCACACTTGCAAAGAACTTAAAAACCAGTTAAATATTTATGAGGAATATTATATTCAGAAGAGAGACTGACTGGCTAATCTTATTCATCCCTTCTGGATTCTGATGTTTAATTAATGCTTGCAAAGTGCTTTGAGATGCTTGGATGAAAGTGATACAAACACGTCACTGCACGCTGTGACCCTTGGTCCCAGAGGCACCTGTTCCCCGCACAACTGGAGCAGCTCCAAGAGATGGATCCCCACCCCAGGGTGACAGCACATCCAGAACAGGCATTCTCACTACATGACAAGCCTGCAGCTTTGTCACCTCAGACCCCACCACAGCAACTTCTCCTTGCAACTCTGCAGCAAGTTCAAGCGCATTTTGCAAGACTTACCCCTTCAGGGAATGCTATTTCTGGTAGATATTTGCAGTGACATAAACCAACTGTTTAAAAACAAGCCAATGTAACAGTGTGCTGGGGAGACAAAATGCAAGCCAGGATCTGCACAAACTGAAGCATCAACTCAATGCCTCAGATCCCCAAGCACTGAGATGCCACAGCCTTACAATCCCAACCTAAATTTTCTTAACTTTTTTTTTCCTCCAGGACATCCCCTCTCTTGCATCTGGGGACCGGAAAGGACATTTCTTTTTGACATGTGTGAGGGAGTTTTGAAGATGCTGATGTGATATGTCAAGTTCTTGAAGGAGAACTGTGTCTCAGAAAAGGGCTTTCCCAAATTCTGGACACTGGCAGAGTGCCCATCCCATCCCATCCCATCCCATCCCATCCCATCCCATCCCATCCCATCCCATCCCATCCCATCCCATCCCATCCCATCCCANCCCATCCCATCCCATCCCATCCCATCCCATCCCATCCCATCCCATCCCATGGTTTGTATCCCACACTGGGAAGTTCCTGTCTCATGCAGGTGACTTCCTCTCTGAAGTAGGACATCCTCTTTCTCCAAAGTCACAATCGATGGAGAAGCTCCAGTGCTGGAGGCCTGCTCACAGCTGTTCCTGCCACAGCTGGTGGCACATTGTGAACCTCGCTGGGGTGCCTGTCTGTGCCTGCTCCCCCCAAAGCCTGGGTGCATCTCACACCTCCATCCTCCAGACAAAGGGGCAAGTCAGTGCCAGAAGGAGAAGAGTGGGTGGCACAGAGATGCAATCTCAGCCATGTCTGGGGCTCAGTGGGTTTCCGCCACCTTGGCTGAGGCTGGGATTCGGAGAGAGAGAGAGACCAAATGTGGGTGGGAAACCACAAAAGCCCCCTCCTCCACCCTACAGAGAAGGGAAACAGCTGAGATTCAGTAGTGGTGCAGGTTGGTACAGGTTACTGAAGAGTAACCTTACACTGGGTTTACAGGCAAAGTTTTGGTCCTGGAAGGGCTGCATCCGTGGCTTCTGTGAGACGTGAGATGGAGCCAGCCCCATGTCAGCCAGAGCCACCTCCAGACAGCCCCAAAGCAGACCCACTGCAGACCAAAGCTGGGCTCATCAGTGGTGCTGGTGGCACTTTTGTGAGAGTGTACTTAGCAAAGGCTAAAAAGCTGTGCACAGCAGCTGTGGGAGACAGGAAGGACAATATGTGGGAGAAACAGCCCTGCAGACACCAAGATCAGGGAGAAGGAGGGGTGAGAGGTGCTCCAGGTGCCAGAGCTGAGATTCCCCTGCAGCCCATGGAGAGCCTGCACTGGAGTAGATATTCTGACAGGAGCTGTGGCCTGTGGAGAAGCCCCACTGGGCTCCTAGATGAGGTTATCTAGCACCCTGCCCAATCACACCTTCAAAGCCTCCAGCAATGGCAACTCTGCCACATCCCTAGGGGGATTGTTCTGGTGACTGATTGTTTTCACTGTAAAAAACATCTTCCTAATGTCAAGGTGAGCACGAAGAACTGCAGTCCATGGGAGGAACCCACATCAGAGCATTTCTTGAAGGACCCCATGGTGGAGCAGAGGAACAGCGTAAGCAGGAAGAAGCAGCAGAGATGACGTGGTTTGAACTGACCACAGCTCCCATAGCCAGTTCCCTGTGACGCTTTGGGGAAAGAAGGAGGGACAGAAGAGTCGAGTGTGAAGTTCAGCCTGGGGAGAAAAGAGAGGTGGGAGAAGGTTTTTAAAGTTTGTTTGTTTGGGGTTTTGGTTTTTGCGCTTGTTTGTTTGTTTGTTTTAAAATTTTTTACTACTTTATTAATTTATTTGTTTTTAATTAGCCATAAATTAGATTAATCTTTCCCCAAGTTAAATCAGTTTTGTCCATGACAGTAGCCGGGGGGAGATCTCCCTGTCCTTATCCTGGCCTGAGAGAGTTTTTCACATCTTCTCCCTCTGCCTTGCTGAGGAGGGGGAATGAGAGCACAGCTGGGTGGGTGCTGGCAGACAGCCAAGAAAAAGCCACCACTGCTGCAAAGAAAATACTCTCTCATCTCACCCTAAATCTCAGACATACTCCAGAGAGGTGGGGCCGGGGTCAGCTCCTCAGAGCTACCTCCTCTCAGTGGTGGTGCAGGAGACAGGCCGGGAAATAGAGCTCAAATTACTCTTACGGAGTGCAGGAGGTGTGGGATGGGTCCAAATCGGCCCAGCTAACCTGTTAGTCTGTGAGCTCTCGTCCTCAGTGGAGCAGAACCAGCGCCCAACCATTCGTGTGTAGGTTTCAGCCTCCATCAGCTGCCCCATGGCCAATAGGCTCTCTCTGCTTTGCACACTCATTCTCTCCACCGCTGCCATGCATCGCCTTCCGCTCGGGTCCATTGCTGTTCACACCCAGAGTCGAAATCACGTGCCTTTGGAAAATCACCATCTGCCTAGAGGAGTCGGCGGATGTCAGCAGAACCGGGACTGGCAGCAAGACCTCGCTGTCGCTCCGGCTGGAGAGGAGGAGACATCAAGGCCAACCAAACATCTGCTTGCTGAACATCAGCTTTGCTCCTCTTTTGTTTCAGCTGTAGCTGGGTGAGATCAATTACGGCAGGTGACAAACTCGAGGAGACAGAAACACAGAGGCTGAAAGAAAAGAGGTAAGGAAACTCTTTCTTTTGCTAAGAGGCCAGCCTGGTTTCAGGTTTTTTAATGCTATGAACTTTGTTACTCCACTCAAGTTGCCCAGATGGATTGTTTTTGCCTTGCTTAAAGGTCTGTTGTAAAACCATCTTAGACCTTTGACTTGATAATACTTATGGCTGTGCAGTTCTCCGAGGTCTTTTAATTTTCACTAAAAACTGTTTGTGTCCCTGGATTTTCCTCTGAAAGGGGCAGAAAAAAAGGGAGTTACAAAAAGCTCAACTTGCCTCAGATCCTGGGGATCTCATGGATCTTTTAAACCCATATATAGGGAAATACGTCCTATATGAGGGCCTGTCACTGGTGATTGCATATCCTCAAGGGCTGCAAATGCATTGGGGAGCAGCCCTCTACCAGCTGCCACTTGCTATCACCTTCTCCACATTCCCTGCAGGAAGGGGAACTTTATTCTATAAAAAGCCTGCAAAAATAAGATGCCAGTCTCTGGCTAAGTAAGGATGTCTACTTACATCTGTACGTGCTGAGACCAGAGGGGTCTGTTCTGCTAATCCAGGCTGACTGGCTCACTGCCTGACACTAGCTGCCAATGCAGCCTGATCCATTAGCTCAGGGCTGAGTGAGCAGGATTTCTTGGAAAAAGAGGGATCCTTGCAATTTCAGGGCAACAGAAAAGAGATTTGTTTTCCCCTTCCATGGGCTGCTGCGCTGTTAAAAGCAGGAGTTTCATTTCTGGTTGAATCTTTCAACTTTCAAGTGGTGTATCCTACTCAGCCTCCATCAGCCACCTCAGATATTCCTTCCTGCACACAGTGCATGAAGGCTGGGTTCAGGTTACTATTCAGTGTTCTCCACTATGAACTCAACAGTACCTGGTAAAGGTTAGACTCATAGGATCACAGAATGGTTTAGGTTGGAAGGGACCCTTAAAGAACATCTCATTCCAATACCCTGCCACAGGCAGGGACACCTTCCACTAGACCAGGTCACTCAAAGCCACATCCAGCCTGGCCTTGAACACTTCCAGGGATGGAGCAGCCACAGTTTCTCTGGGCAACCTGTTCCAATGCCTCATCAGTCCCTGAGTAAAAGATTTCTTCCTAACATCTACCCTCTTTTAGTTTGAAACCATTCCTCCTTCTCCTATCACTATCTGACCATGTAGAAAGTCGCTCTTCATCTTTTTTATAAGATCCCTTTAAGTACTGAAAGACTGTGATGAAGTCTCCCCGACTTTTCCTTTGTCTTCCACAGTGTCTCACAAACGTGTCTGCCAAAGCTGCCTGCAGCACAGCAGGGCTCGGCTCATCCAAACTGAGCGTCCACCTCATCCCCACTAGTGGCTCTTGAGCACCCAGGGATGGTTCCCACCTGATCTGCCACAGCCTCATGTGGGAACCGTGTATGCACCAAAGCAAAATTAAGGAGGGATGATACCCAAATGTCATTCCGAGCAGATACAGGGCTTGGAAGGTTGATGAAGGAACTGATTCCAGAGTGCATCACAGTGCCTTGATTAGTCACAGCCTCCGGTGGCTTTACAAAGGCAGTTCTTGGCTTCCCCTAAGACCAGAAGGGAGCAGCCTGGGCTGTGGAGGTGGAGCCACTTCTTGTGGGCTCTGCATGGTTCCAGGCATGTGATTGGGCATGGGGTACTTCATGGCTGAGGGGCTCAGCTGGTGCTGACACAGTGACATCACCACCCTGACTTGTCCTGATGCTGGGACCTCTCTCGGGGAGGTTCAGCTGCTTTCACCTGTGTGACCTCATGGATCCTGCTCCAGTGCTTCCCTCTCCCAGGAGCTCCGATGGGAGGGTGGCATCTGCTCTTGGATGAGCAGAGATGCTCAGGAGGAAATGCAAGCAGGGTCGAACAGTCCAGGGGGAGAGCAGGGACCGTGAAACGATCTTCACTGCTGTCAAAACTTTGCTCTCTGCTGGCTGTTTTCATTGCACTTGGTCTCTTACCCTGCCTGCTTCTCACGTAACGTTTGCTTTAAGGTTAAGAAGTAAATTCAAAGAAACCATTTGGTAAAAGAGCCAAGTCAGCTTTGTTTCATATTTTGAAACTGAGAAGAAGAGAGGTGAAGCCCTTTAGCCCAGAGCCCCACATCTGAGCCTAACTCTTGAGCAGGGCAAGACTCAGCTCATCCCTGAGCCCTGGCCCTGCAGGCACCGCAAGGGGAAATGCCGCGGCGGAAGCTGAGGTGTGGAGCCCTGGTGGGGAGGGAGGGAGGGAGGGCTGGGGGGCCCCCAACCCTGACAGAACGAGCTGCTGCCAGATCAAAAGCACAGCCACAAACAAGAGCAAGAGGAAAGACAAAACCACACTGCAAGAAAGAGACACAGGAACACACTGAGAAAAGGAGATGGCCTGCTCTGCATCAGGAGTGGTTGCTGAGTTTCTATTTGTTGGAGCTTTTTTTAATTTAAGTTCCCTCCTGTGTCATGCCAGTGCCAGCCCGTGGAGAGGTCTCTGTAGCCATCACCCACCGAGGTTCAGTGCTGGAGGGACTGAAGGGCTGCCAGCCATGCTCTCAGGCAGATGTTCTCCAGGCATGACTTGGTCCTGCAGGCATCATTCTCTGGAGCAGGCCCACTCACTACCTCAGCTCTCGTTTTTCTATCCCTCAGAGAGGCTGGGATCATTAAAATAAGTCAAGAAGGAAATTAAACCAGTTTAGTAAGAGGGGGAAGTTAAAATGAAAAGGAAATCAATGTTCACTTGGGAGGGAGCCCTGCTCCTCCGCTGCTAGACGTGCTAATAAATCAAGTATGCCTGGACTGTTTCTGGCACAGAGGCCAGCTGGCATGAGATGGTCTGGGCTATTAAACTCACTTAACCTCCAAAATGAAATGGCCACATGCCAGCCATCTAATGGGAGAGGTCCCTGGCCCATGCTAACACCTAAATGCATCCCAAGAGTTGCTTGGGAGAGTGAGAGTTGTTCCCGGCCAAAAATGTGTCAGGAAATGTACTAGCAATTTAACAGGACTGATGAGTATGTTCCAGTGCCTGGGGACATTCTGTGACACCGCTTAATTTATGAGTACCACCTTAAGATACAGCTGGGCTGCCTGTAAGGAGGCTGTGGGTCTGCTACAAGCATCTGCTAATGAGAGCAGCTTGCTCCTCGGTTAACACAAGGAGCCTTGCTCACTGAGATCTGTAAACTGCGGAGCAGCATCCCTGTGATCTGGCCTGGAGGGATGCAGAAGGAGATGGAAATGCAGGGGGGAATAGGAAGTGGCATGCATGAGCAGTAGAAACAAGCAGGGAAGAGAGGGAAAGAGTAAAAGAAATCCTAGCTGAAGGCAACCCATTTTCCCCACTGATTTGTAACATGTAGGTGGTAACATCACACTGTGGAGATCTGCCACAGAAATACAAAGATTAACGTGAACAAAGTGGGAATACAGAAGTTGTGAAACCAAGAGAAGAAACAGAAGAACAAAGATGCATCAATCTGCATCTACCAAGATGCACAAGGTCAGCAGTTCACCAGTCCCACACTGCTCTGGTTGTGTGGTTTTGCTCAATAACCAGGAACCAAGAAGGCAAAAAGCAAACTGAAGCCATACGACAGGAGAATAGAGATTCCCAGTCAAAACAAAATTATGAGGTGTGACTCAGCGATTTCATTAATTTTTACTTGTTCCATTACCTTCAGGTTTATATAAAGTTTAATGACTTTAAAAATTTGAAACCCACCACTGAACTGTTAATTCACAGATATTACTTTAGAGTGGGGGCTGACTTTTTCATCCCACAGGAACAGGTGATTTGAGATTTCACAGCAGGGATGAGGTTTCTCCTGTCACCTCAGGAATGGATCTTACTCAGGGCCCTGAGCCAGTTCTCAGTTATCGATGTTCCTTCGGAGTGAGATGCATACAGATGCCTTGTTAGTGCCCTTTCTTTATTCTGTAGCTTAACCCAGCAAACTGCTTCATCATTGCCTCTGCATCTTGTTAGGAGTCATCTCCAATCATCTGCACTTGCTCCTTTGTTTTACAATTTTTGCAGAAAACAGCTCATGCAAGTATTTCCTGGCCTGGGGTGGGTTTTTGTTTAGCATGAGGCAAGCCACAAGTCTCCTCTGACTGTGTCTTTGACACCTGTTTCTCTTCTGATGGTGCATGTGGCTGCTGTTTTGCTCTTGCACACATATTTTTCATCTGTGCATGTATGTACATTGGTCTGGACGTCAGATGTTGTGCTGATTTAAATGTAGTGCTGATGTTTTCATCTACTCTTTGATAGCTTCACATGCTCTGATCATTAAATTAATTTCAGTATTAAATTACCCTCTAATAGAATATATTACACTTAATATTGCACATCATACATAGAAGTATTGTAGAAAATTATTCATTAATTTCTTTTGATCTTCATCCCATTAAGACTCCAGCCTTCAGTCTGTCCCACACCTGACATGGGGACTGCCTGCTTTCAGAGAAGTGAGGTCACCTCACTGCCTTGCTCACTCCCCAGAGCATTTAAGCTGCTTGGCTTCCCTTCTGTGATACATGCTTGGTAAAGGATGGAGAGCTCAGTAGTGTCCTTGCACAGCAGCCATGGTCCCCTTCGCCTTGTCAGCTTACCAGCACACTTGTCAGTGTTACCAGCACTTTATCTTTGCTGTAGTCAGAAATTGCATCTGATTTGATAACTAACCTTAACATGTTGGTTAGCTTCCAGTTGCCACTTAAGGTTTTGCTACCATTAATGCAACTTCTTCTTTTGGACTGCATTCCTCCCTTCTCCTCATACTTTTCGTTGAACAGTCCTAAGAATTCAAGCAGGTCTTTCCAGCATCAGGCTTGCTGGTTATTGAGATTTGTAAAGTAAGGAGTTAAAAACAGAACAAAAACCCAAACCTGAAGAACCATATTAGTAACAGTCTAAAGATGGCTGTAATCATAAAATCACAAAATTTCACAGAAATATTTAGATGGCAAGGGGCATTGGGAGGTCTCCAGTTAATTCTCCTACTCAGAGCTGAGTTGACTCTAAAACTACAACATGCTGCTCAGGGCTTGACAAGGCAACTTCTGAGCATCTTCAATGGTGGAGATTGCCTGGCATCTCTTGGCATCTATTCCATTGCTGAACCGCCTTCAGTGGAAAGAAAGGTTTCCTTCTATCTAGTCAACATTTCCCTGCTCAACATAGGGCTGCTGCCTCCTGTTCCTCCCTTGTGCACATCTGAGGAGAATGTGGCTTATTCTTCTAGGTAGCAGCCATTAGGTAATGGGAGACTGAAATTAGATCCCACTTTGGCTCCCTTCTCCCTATCAAGCCCAGTTTTCTGCCTCTCCCTTGTATGCCAGGTGCTCCAACTTCCTCACCATCTCACTAGCCCTCCATTGAATTCTGCACAGTCTGTCGGCATCCTTCTTGTACTGGGGGCCCAAAACTGTACCCTGTTACCCTGTATCCTAGATGAGACCTCAGGTGTGCCAAATAGAGAGAAATAATTACTTCACTCTACTTCCAGCAGAGCTGGCTGTGCTCTTGCTAATGCAGCCCTGTATGTGTTTAGCTTTAATCTCTGCAAGAGTGATGATAACCCACCATAGAGAAGTAAAAAGCACAGAACTCTTGGCAGTATAAACAGCTGCTGCCTGATGAATGCCAGAAGCCTAGGGATGAGTAAAATGAAACGTTTATTACCAAACTCCAGGGGCATGCTGCAGATGGATTCTTTACTGAAACAAAGGGCTCTGGTGACTTTCCCAATAAGCTTCCATTTTGCTATGCTGAAGGATGGTGGGAGCTGACTGGGAGCACAAGTCCCATCCATCGAGGTCTGAAAATCAAACACTATCAACAGAACACTTGGGTCTTCCAGGATAATATCCCTTGGCAGTGACAGCCTTTCCAGCCCTGCTCTCCGCGGACGGGAGGAGCGTTCCCACAGCGATGGAGTCGTGCAGCACAGCTGTGAGCCGCACGCCTGCCGCCTTCTTGCTTCTGCATCTGGGTGAGTGCTGGACTCAGCAAACCCTCGTGGTTCTCACAGCCTTTTCAGAAGCCTCACAACACTTGTTGTATTTCTAGGCTCTTTCTGATGTATCATATAATGTTCCTCACATGGTTTCGCTTTGGGACTCAGGTTGTTCCCAGCCTGCCTGCTGAGCCTGCCAGCCAAAACCAGGGTGCATCGCCAGATTTGGGGAGTTGTCCCACAGAGATGCAGGAGTGGGGGGTCCAGTGAGAACCATGAAACACACCAAGCAGAGTGGAAGATGTGTAACCACATCTGTGATGTGATCTTTAGAATCTCATCACAGATTTGCCCTTGCAAATGGAATGCTACTGGCTTGCTTAGCTTGACTGCTAATGTTACAAGCTTTGGTGGACTTTTAAGTGCTCATTTTGCAATAAAGGAGACAGTGAATAAGGCCAAGCCTACATTTCTCAGATACTCAGCTTTGATTCCTCTGGTCACAGAGGAAAGATTGGAAATCTCTTGCGCACCTTAGAACCAAATAAAAAGCAAAATATACCAACTCTTATTAATCACATTTCTAATTGCACAATTTAAGAAAAAAATCATAAACTTCTGTAGTCCAATGTGCAATTATCAAAAACCTGTATTGGTACTGTTGCAGGTTACCTCTTAGAAGGATGTCACTTCTGGCAAACCCTACATTAAACTCATGTAAACTTTTCATTTTACACTTCTACAGCTCCTTACTACTCAGGTCACCTGGGGGATTTGCAAGTAAGGCATCTCAGCGAGTTTACAAGCAGTAAGGAGACCACAACCCTGTTATTCCAAATATTACCTCTGGCAACTCCATCTCCTTCTTAAGGTTTTTTGCAGAAATCTTCTTTACAGTGAAGGAAAGGAAATGATTCTCCCAAGAAACTACTCCTCTTGTTTCTTCAACCTTATACATCCTATTTCTTATATTGTCACATAGCCCTCCTCCCAAGAACAGGAACCTGACATTAGGTCAGACTTCTTCCTTTCTTTTTTAGTTTATTTCTTCATTTTTCTGTGTTTTCAGTCTTCGTCCATGCAAAAACTGGAATAAGGTGTGAGCAAATTTGTCAGTGTTAACTGGGAAGTGAAGGACGGCTGACAAATGCTGTCCTTCATTTGCTACCAATAGAAAAACTAAGTCTTATCCAATGGAAAAAGGTTGTTTCAGTTGTTGACACTTCAAAATTACAAATGATGATCAGTCCACCATAAAAACTGGTATTTTTACTTTTCTCTGAATATGTATGAAAGAGAATAACCATTGGCCAGGTAATAAAAGAGCTTGATTGATTGATTGATTGATTGATGATATAAAGGAGTGACAAATTCAGAAACTGAGGATAATTTCAGTGTCTGGGAAAGGGAGGAGAAATATCAACATCTTTTTGGAGGGCTGGGAAGTGTTTATTGAGCCACACTTCAGAAAGTGAACTTAGGCCTGTTTTTGGTGGTTATTGACTTTCAGGTCTGGTCTCCAGTATGGCTAACCATAATCAATTCCAGACTGGGCTCGCAGGAGGGGAGGTGACCCTGAACTGCACAGGCATACTTCCCGACTCAAAATTACCCAGGGACACAGTTGTGCACTGGAAGTACCATGATACTCCTTTATGGCGTTTGGAAAAGAATATACCTTGGAAAAGTAAGGTTTCCAATTCATTACTCCTTCTCCCTTCACACAGCTAAGAAAACCTCTTCCCTCCTAACCAAGCCTATTTTTTCAAAAGCACCAGCTTTCATTACTGATCGATTTAGCATCAAGAAGCAATATAAACAGCTGTGGGTGCAGAATTTGAAGCTCTCCGACGCTGGCATTTACACCTGTGAATATGGCTCTAACAAAGTTCGCACCTCACTGCACATCTTTAAATGTGAGTCAGTGGAGGGCGTTTAGTCATCAGGAGGGGAGGGGCCTATAGAGCTTGGGGAGACATCTCTGCTGGGATTCTTTATCCAGCTGCATTTCTTCTGTCCTGGGCTATCACAGTTAATTTCTCCTTCATCTCCAGAGCACAGCATCTCCATGTTCTCTTTGCTGTAACACTTGTCTCTTTCTCACAGGAAGAGGAACTGACTTACTGGCTGTGCTTTTTTCTTTTTACAGTGATGATCTCTTTGAATGGGCATTTTCTGCAAAATGAAGTCCCTGAGCTGATTTTAACACAAAATTCACCCAGTCCTCTACCCGATCTCAGAATCACATTGCTTGACAGTAACAATAACAGAGTAACACCAGAAGTACGAAGCGAGAACCGTGAAAAATACATAGTGAATTTAAAGAAACTGGAAGCTATGCACAGTGGGACCTGGGTGTGTGAGGTCCATTCAGATTCTCCATTGATTGATCAGAGCATCCCCTTTGCTGTGAAAGTATTAGGTATGTGACAACAAAAATGGAACTCACACCCAGGCTCGGGAACCAGTGTTCCCTTCAGCTCATGAGTTTAACTTTTAATCTCCACATCCCAAGCACTGGTGCACCAGGACTGACTTCTCAGGGCTTCCAACTATGCAGCTTGGGGATTGTTCTGCTGCCTGAGCTCTGTTCCACTCTGCCACTCATTTTCCTCTCCAGGCTTGGTGAGGAGAAGATTCTCCTTTCCTCAGGATCTGTTCATCTCAGCTCTGCTGTGCTTGGGAGCTTTGGATCTTTCTGCTGTCTTATTCTCAGACTCTGTTTAACCTTCCTGGAGGATGTCGTGGCTTTTCTCCAAGTCCTTTTTAAGCTGAGTGCAGCGTGCCGCACTCTGGATCAAGGGTAGACATGGGGAAGCGTAACCATGGCTTTTCCTGCCTCTGTATTCCTTGTCTCTTCAGGTTTTCGGAATCCAGATTTGGAAAGAAAATATGCAACTGTTGATAGCACTGTCATCTTGTCATGGCGTCTGAACTCCCAGAAGATAAAATGGAAAGAAGGTTTCACAGGACAGCTGAATTGGAAACAACAGGAAAGTGCAAACCCTCATGAGCTGCTTGATTTCAACGTCACAGCACAAGGAGAGCTGCATGAGACCAAAAAAAGCAACAACTTTCTGTTTGAGATACCCGAAAGAAAACCTGAAAGTACCATAGAAGTGAAGCTCCCCAAAGTGCATTTCAACCATTCTGGCCAGTACCAGTGCCAGCTGGAGTACCAAGGAAGACATGCGCAGAGCAAGATAGAGCTGGTGGTGATGAAAGGTGAGAGGAAGAAAAGTGGGTCATGAGGAGGAGCTGCAGAAACTTGCAAGCCACAAGAGCACGGATGGACCCATCTTCCCTTCTCCTCACTCACATGTCCTTTTCTCACCTTTGCAGTCTCAGCTAAGCCTGTTGGGCCACTCTCCAGAGGGGACAATATGACCCTGACCTGCCAGGTCTCTGGACCGCTCCCACCCAATGCCTACTTGAGCTGGGAGCATGTGAATGGGACTAAGAAGGACATTAAGAACTCAGAGCAGAATGAAGTAAAGTTGGAGGTGAACATCAGTGTTGCGGGGCTGTGGAGCTGTCACCTCATAGAAGACGGTGACAGAAAGATCAGCTTTCATTACCACGTGGGTATGGAAATTAGCATCACGTCTCTGCTCCAATCCTAAAGCTATAAAATTCTCTGTTTTTAAACACTTTTCTTCTCCCACAGAGGAAGCTGCTGTTTGGACTAACTATGTGATAATTGGAGCAAGTGTTGGAGGCAGTTTATTGGTGTTTGCCCTTGGATGCCTGTGCATCATCAGTGGTACAAGCTGGCAGCGGAGAAGGGTGAGTGCCATGGTCCCTGTGAAACGTGCACAGTTTACTGGCTCTCCAAACCACAGGAGCAGTCAGATTTCTTGTCTGGGTGCATGGCAGAACAGACAAAGGGTCCTTAGACTCAAAGCAAGTTTTTGAGATGGGCAGTCTGCAAATGTCAGACAGCTTTACTACAGAGGAAAGTATTTGAAGCATAAAAATATCCAATTGTTCTTTGTCCCTTCTCTCCTGGCAGCAACGGGCAAAAAGGATGGCACAAGCAAGACAATACTCGCTGGAAAACAAGACGTGTCAGTGTCAACAGTAAGTGGCAATGAGGGCACCCAGAATGGGCAAAGACTGTTTTCAAGAGAGAGGAGCTGGATGATTGAGTGGGGAGAAATTGGCTTGAGCCTCTTTGGTGAAACAGTACAGCCGCATTTCAGCATTTTCAGCTCTTACTTATGTTAAATCCTGCTTAAGAGTTATGAGCTATGCTAAATCCCAAACCCATAGTAGCACTGTGCTGGGAAACTTTTGAGCAGAGTGGTTTCACTCAAATTATCTTAACGTTGAGAGGTGTTAGCCTAACCCAAGCAGGAGCTCCAAAGTCCTTTGGGAGGGTCCACAGTGAATCTGAGATCTAGATATCAAGGCTGTGGAGGTGGAAGGCACACAACCAACACAAGGATGAAACCCAAATTTTAAAAATCCATGATGTCCACAATTTAATTCCATCTCTGCTAGCACAGTGCTGGACTGCAGTTAGTGAAAATTGCCAATAACCTCCCAAGAGTAACAAAAGAAGAGAAAAAAAAATCACAGAACACTCTGATTTGTACCCTTTCCTAAAGGCCTTGGGTGATGTGAAATACACCATCCTGTCATGACCCTTTTCATGGGAACAAGGATTTCTCAGAAGAGAAGCTGCTCTCTTCCATGTCTTTAAGCTTATATGGTATCAGGCATGAGAAGCAGCTGTTGGAAACACTGACAGCCACTGGAAATGGAGCACAAAGAGAACTATAAATGATTGCATTAACAAGTTTAATGAATGTTTAGGTACAAAACAGGACTTCTGCTTCATTTTCACTGGTGACATTGGCAAACTGTGACAGTTTCACCTAATTTTTTTTTCACTGTCATCAAGAATTCAGTGAGAATGTTTATTGGCAAATGCCGCATCACAGCTGGGATGTATATGTGGTGAAGAGCATAACGTCAAAGAATTCACCTCGTTTTCACATACATTTTATCAAGGTTAAAAAATAATCCCCATAAAGAGAGGACAAAGCCTGTACAGATACATCAAAATCTAGATAAATCTGTGCAGTACAAGTGCTGATACAGTTGTTCTCTAACTCTCTTTGCTAAGTAAGCAGCTCAGTGTAACTGAAACCTAAACTGCAGCTATGTGGATGCTCAAGTAACTGCATCCTCAGCTACGGAGGCAGGCAGCCATTCTCTATGTAAAAAAAGTGGGGGGTGGTACTCATTTAGTACTTTTCTCCTGCAGCCGACTGAAGAAGTAATACTGCAACACTGGCATCACAAGGACTGATGAAGTCTCTGCCTGTACCTAAACGCCTGGCAACACATAGTTCTCTGTGGATCCATCTCCCTCTCTCCTGTTTTAATGTAATTCTTTATTCCTTCTTCCTTCCCCCAGTCTAATGTCATGGAGGGAGGTTGTCTGGCTAGGAGCCAATGGACAAGACAAGAAACCCTGAGGGGTTATGATTGATCCCCAGTTCTGTAATGAGAGATGCTGAACAGAAGATATGTGTATATATATATATCTACACACACACACATATAATATGCTTGTATTTTGTTCATGCACTTAATTTGACCTTCTTGTGGAACCAATTTTATGCGCTTCTTTTATCTGCCTGAGCGACAATAAATTACTTTGGGGTTGGGAGTTATTTTTTGCAAGCTGGACTACATTTTTTCTGAGGCACTCTTGTCTGGTTCAAATTCACATTTCTCTCTTTCCTGCTAGGATGTGAAATGCTGATTCTCACTATCTCCAACCTCCCTGGCTGCCATGAGCCTTTCTTAATTTACCAGCTCTTTGCTTCTGTGAAACCTGTTTGTACATGCTCATTTGCCTTTCCTGGGCAGCCCAAGCCCTATATATTTACCCTTAGACCTACATATCTGATGTCCTGTATCTATCCCTCAGCCTGTAGCTTTCACCTCTCCCAAGGTAAACAAGTGAACAAACAAGTAAAAACAGCACAACCAGTGGGATAATTCAGAACTAATTTTATTGGGAGGGCAATTAAGGATACCAATAGATTTTGGAAGTCAGAGCCCAAAGAAGTTCTGAATGTTGATCTAGAAGGTAAGTTTGGGAAGGGGGTGAGAAAGTAATTTCCTAGAAGAACAAACCAGCCATGAGCTGCCTAATCCTGCAGAGTGCAGAGAGCAGATGCTTCTGAGAAAGCCACTGAAAATGTTTCTCACCAAAATGACCCTTTTTTTTGGCTCAAGGAGATGAGAAGAGGCAGTGAAAAGCCCAGGAAATTTCAGATGGAACTAAAAGCATGTTTCAGAGATGACAGAACGTCCTGAAAGAAAAATGCCGTTAAAATATGTACACAGAAGGCTTGTGTTTATAGAAGCTGCTCTACTGTCTGCTAGTGGCAGGTCACAAAGGCCTTGGGGTCCTACAGCTGTCATTGGCTGCAGTCCCGGCTTGTTTGCACCGGCCTTGCTGGGGACAAGCACAGAGGGGCACTGGGCTGTGGGAAGGGCTCCCTGAGGTCTAGACCCTCTGTGGGGTGCCTGGTGCTGGAGGAGAGGTTTTCTGTGGGGCAGTCACACCAGCATCACTGTTACTGACAGACAAGAGACAGGCGGCACCAACGGCACAGGCAACACCTGTGAGCCGGGGGAAATCCTCCACCACACAACCCCTGGATGGGGACACAGCCCAGGCAGCTGTGGCAGCAGGTGTGGGCCCCACTGGTGTCAGGCCTGTTTCTCCACCCTTCTTGGGGAAGATGAAAATGGAAAACCTTATAAATATGATTGCTGGCAAGAGATTTTGAGAATATGGAAACTATAAGCGAGATTGAAATGAAAGCCATCTTTGAGAGACCAAACCTTAGTTACTGAACAACTAGAAACCAGCAGTATGGCCAGCTGAAAGTAATCTCCTCTTGATTGAACAATTCTCTCTGCTTGCAGACAGGTCCAAGGAGCAGAGAAGACCCTACTAGCTTGGTAAAGAGAGTCCAAAGAGTAGCTTTTAGGGTTTAAAATGTAACACAGTATGGTAATGTAGTGATTCTTATAGGCTGTATGTAAATGCTATAGGATTTGTATCTTGTATTAGATTGGTTAGTGAAAATTAGAATATTCAACACAGAAGAAAATTTATTGTATTGTAAGGGGAACCTCGCTCTCTTACCACTCTTTCCTCTCTGATGCTCTTGCTTTTACTCTCTTACTTTGTACCTCTTATCCCTTGCTCTCTCTTTACTCTCTTTACTCTTGCCCTCCTGCTCTTACAGGCCTGCTCTGAGCTGCGAGTGGCAGCTCCAAGCAGGGCCCTTTTACCCACCCCCTATGCAATAAACTACAAATTCCAACACCTGGCTTTAGAGATCTCTCCATCAGTCCCGACTGTGCAGACCCGTGGCTCCTACACACCCTCATCCTCACTCAAATAGGAGTGACAAAGGCCCACACTGACATCACTTTCCTTCCCATAGCTTTTGCTTGCATGCACACGACTACATTAATTTTGGAAAAGCCTTGGTCCATATCCTGGTGCATGCAGTTGCTCCTTCTGTTCCTGCTCCTGTTCTTGAACTGCCAGCATACTTTGGGAGCCAGTTGTGGCCCATGGATCTGCTAAACAAGGCATCATCATGGCTTAATGACAGGTCCATTTTAGGAGCTGTATGTGGGAAAATGAGCGCAAAGTCAGTGGTGGTCTGTGTAATGGTCATGCTAAACTGCTTGGCACAGTCCCCTCAATAAAATCTACCCCTGTTTCTGCAGTTCAGACTCTTCACCTTAAATAACTGCTTGAGTACCCAAATCAGCTCCTTTTTTCACTCACATGGGTATCTGGAGCAGAGAGATTATCCTGTACCACCTGATACCTGGATGGGACAAAAAATCAGGCTGAGTGAACATCTGTTGGGAGCTCCTTTAGCACTGCCACCATCTCCAGCAGTTCAGATGCTTACCTGAGGTTCTGACAGCTGAACCAACCACCTCTGTACCAAAAAACACCAGCCTTGACTTTTTCAGCAAGAGAATCAGCCTGACAATAAAAGACTAAGCTAATAGGGCTTATTAAAAACCTTGTGTCCCAGTTTCAGCCAGCGTAGAGCTAATTTCTTCTCAGCACAGGGTCCATCAAACCTGGCCTGTCCAGGATAAAATACATGGGTAGCAGACAATGCCAGCACTGGTGGCTTGGAGAACATGGAGGTGCCTGAGCTGCCTGACAGCTGTCAAAGCCAGGATGCAGCTCTCCTCTGTTCCAGAGGCTGGAAGAGGCAGACAGACTCCTCACAAGTGACCAAAGGTTCTGTCCCCACACACAGCTGGGACCCACCTGCAAAGAGCACTCAGGCTCACACTTCCTCCATCAGTGCAGAAGGTGCCTCTGTCTGCTTCCAGGTGGCCTGGTTAGCACGACAGCAGATGTGATGGTGCCACTGGGATGCCTGTAAGCACACATCCGCATCCACAGATGCACAGCTTCCAGTTCTCCCATCTGCATGAGTGTAACAAAAATGATAGGCCTTCCTCAACACTGCACAATTCCCCAGTGGGTCTCCTGATCTCAGAAGTTGTGACCCTGCCCTACTCTACTTGAAGCTCATCTGCAAGCACAAACCACTGTAGGCTCTAATCTTATAAATCTCTCTTTTTTGGCAGCTCTCCTGTCTGTCTTTTCATATGATGACCTCCTTTGTTCCCTAGATGCACGGACTGCCCTGATTGAGAGAAAAGTCATTCACAGAGTCAGTCTTAGTTAGGCTTTGCTTTCCATCTGAGTGCAATACTGAAAGCTTCAATGTGGGCTTCAAGGCAGCACGGAGGTAGAGAGATTCAAACCAGATAAAAACAAGCTTGTGCAAAACATGTCAAGGTAGATGAGTCCCCAGCTGGAATGGAATGCAGTTACATCTTGCCCAAGCCAGGACTTTACAGGCTGTCTTCCATGTATCCTGGTCCTCCTTCTCAGGAAGTGTTGAGGACTTCTCTCTTTGCTAGGTGTGACAAGCGTGCATCTACACTATGCAATGGAACTAACACCTCTGCATGACACAAACCACAACAATAAACAACCCTGCAAAGCAGCAAGCACAATGACAAACTTATTTTATCATGTGGTGACAGCTCATCAGAGTAGCCCTGAGATGATGGCATACATGGCGATACTTAGAAAATGACACTGTCAGCAAGAGCTCTGTGTAATCATGTGGAAATACCACAGAAATCATGAGTTTGGAAAAGTATGTGAAGTGCTGATTTTTCCTATTACGTCAGTCTTCCTGGTACTACTGTTCCCCGTGTTTCTGGGCTGCAGAAGGGGAAAAGGACATGCTTCAGACCTTCGGACCCACCTCCAATGCATGGCCCTCGGTCAGAATCCACAGACCTCCTTGCTCCAGCAGAGGGAGGAGGTTGGACACAGCTGAGGATATACTGCCCTGTCCAGTTCTGCTGAGCTAGAAACACACGGGCTGAAATAACCCCGTCCCACAGCGCTACTTCCCCAGCCCCTCCTGCTTCCCAGTTTATTTCTGCCCTTTGAGTGCAACGTGAGGCGGTGATTTGGTGGATGCTGTCAGCCCGGATCTGCCGAGGCGATCCATGTGACTCATGCTCCCCGCAGGCTCTGCAGCAAAGCATTCGCATCCCTCAGCCTTCAGAGCCAAATGACCCTGTGTGTTTCTCTGCATGTTCCCAAGGTCTAGAAGGGAAAAAGCTGTGCACTTCAGCCTCTTCTAATTTCTTTTTATCTCAAGGATGGGAAGAGGGGGGAGGGGAGAGGAAGGGCAGTATTCAGTGTCCATTTGAATGGCTGATCACCCAGCCTAAAGCAGCTGCAGAGAAAGAGTAGCTTCCATCCACTCTTCTCAAGGTGAGGGTATAGTTGACTCTTCCAAGATGCTCAGCTCTGGACTGGTTTCCTTTCTGAGAGTATTCCCAAGTGTGCATTTCCTAGGAGGAAGCTCAGGGTTTGTAAGTGCACTCACCTCTGAGCAACACCTCCAAACCACAGCCTTTGCCTCATGGATGTCAGCATCCTTCCTTGGCATCCTCCCCGAAGAAGCCTTTGGCTCTCCTTCTGTTCATTTTCCAGCCAGCTTGGCCAAGTCTTAGAGGTACTTCCAGATTTGGAGAATCAAGGAACAACAGAATAAGAGGTGGTGGCAAAGATTGCCTCACTGGCAAGGCATCAAAAAGGAAGAAAGGAGAAACCCCAGCTCCTCAATGCTTCAGCACCAGCTGGCTCGTGTCAAGGTGCCTGTTTCAGGCTCCAGTGCTGGGAAGTCCCTCCTCTGAGCTTGTCTGTGTGCTGTGTGGAGATGAGGCTCTGGAGGTGAACAGTGATGCTGGCTGTGTGAGGACCGTGGATGCAGAGAGGCCAGCGCACCACCCGAAACAACGGAGGGAGCCAGAGAGCTTCCCTGGCAGGGGCCACCTGCATTCAGCATCTCAGCAGGGCTCCTGAAAGGCCAGACTATTTTTAAATTAAATTATTGTTCTAGCCTTGGGAAACCCCAAACATACCTAGAGAAGCTAGAGGTAAAACAAAAATTGCAATTCAGTGTTACAAATTTAAAGCAAAGAAGTAATTTCAGCTCCTTCCAGATATTGTGGGTTCCCAGACTAATGATTCAAGAGCTCCTAATTATCTTTTCTGTGTATGAGAACAAACAA